AATAAAAAGAGAAGAAATGAAAAAAGAATAAGTATTGGCAAAGATGTGGAGAAACTGGAACCCAGTAACTGTGCTGGTGGGAAGATAAAATGGTGCAGCCAATATAGCAGTTCTTCAAAAAATTAAAAATAGAATTACTATATGATCCAGCACTTCTACTTCTGGGTATATACTCAAAATAACTGAAAGCAGGGTTTAAAGAGCTATCTATAGACCCACATTCATGCCAGCATTACTCACAACAAAGAGGTGGAAGCAATCAAAATGACCATCATCAGCTGAATGGATAAACTAAACATGGTAGTAGTTATGCACTGCATAAAGACGTTCTGGTCAACTATGAGCCGCATGTACAACAGTCCATATCGAGTAGCCTAAGTGTATAATAGGCTGTGTAAGTATCTAGACAAGTGTAAGTATACTGTATGTTTACCCAACAACATTGGTTAAGGACGCATTGCTCAGAATGTGTTCCCATTGCAAAGCAACCTGACTGTCCATATAATGGTATATTATTCAGTCTTAAAAAGGAAATTCTGACACAGTTCGACATACTAAGTGAAATAAGCCTGTTCAAAAAAAATAGTGTTATGAGTTCACTGAAATGAGGCACCTAGAACAGTCAAATTCACAGAAACAGAAGACTTAGAGTGGTGGTTGCCAGGGGCTAGAGGAATAGAAGAATAGGGAGTTGTTTAATGGGTACAGTTTTAGTTTTGCCAGAAGACAAGAATTCTGGAGACAGATGGTAGTAATGGTTGGCCAACAACATGAAAGTGCTTCGTGCTACTGAACTATACATTTTAAATGGTTAAAATAATATATTTTATATACATTTTATCATAATGAAAAAACGATTATTTGCCTAGGAACCTGGTAACTGTCATTGTCACAAAGTTTATGTATCTAAAGGATGCTAGCTACATCGCATCACTTAGCATTAATCTATACTCTCTAGCCCGAACTTCCATCCAACTATGCCATTCTTAAGACACAAACTTTTATCATCTTTGTCCAATTTCATGAGGATAATCTATACCCTTCCCTCCATGGAGAGATATGTGAATGTTGGACATATTACACCGGTTCTCATTACAATGCAGGTTAGCTTACATCTGTTCTCTAGTTTGCAATACATCTGCCCTGACTGACCTCACAGCTATGAAAATCTTGTAGGAAAGACAATTTCTTAACTAAGGAAACAGTACTTCTTCAGAGACAAGACGCCGCCAGATTCAGTAGCTAAAGAATTCCCTGTTTTCCACCAAGTTTCAGCTGACCTTTCAAGATGGGGGTTGGGAGAAATAATACATTTCTAGTCTGTTTCACAATTTCAGATACACATTTGAAATTACCCATGCTTACATAAAAGATCTAAAAAACAAAAAGAAGTCTCAACAAAGGACATTTAAAACTGCCTAGAAGTTTAAAAAGTATATAAATTTTAAATTCTAAACAAATCTACATTGTTTTCCATATTAAAAACCCATTTGGATATGTCAACTATTTTTTTATTATAAGTTCATTTCTATACCTGGCATGTCTGAGGACTAAGAAGAAATCAACCTGATAAAGAGAAAAAAGGTAATTTGAATACTGCAGTGTAATGGAAAGATCACTGGACTCTGGACCAACTGTGTTCCAAGGTCAGCTCTGCTGTGGCTTGGCTGTGTGACCTGACTGTAACCAAGGGTAATTATTTGACTGTCTTCAACAATGACAGAGGACATACCTACCTAAGACCTTACAGAGGCATTGGGAAGAAAACAACATACATGAAAAGACTTAAGCCTCTGCTTTTTCAAAATAATACATTCCAAATTACTACAAACTATTCTTTTTAAAGTACTGGTGGGTGATCTATACTGGAAAGTTCATTTACTGGGGATGCAGGTTCACTGAGGAGATGCACAGGCTTTTTGTTAAATACTGAGTAGGACTAGAGGAGAAGTCTATTAAGGTGCTTCTAACACATTCTAGATAGTGGCAACACAGCTAAAGAAACAAAGTATACATCATGATCACATCCTTTCTAGGTGACTGATTCAAACAGTATTTTGGATGGATGGTTATAGCTCTCAGTCCTCTTGTCCATGACACAGTAAATGCTTTATAAATCAATCCAAAGAGACAGAATATGTAAATCATTCGGACTTTTGTTGTTTAATTTTTCACTTCTGGCTTCAAAGACTTATCACAGCTGAGCGACAAGAAAAATGTGAAAAGAAAAGGTTTCTCAGAGAAGGTCTCTGTGACATACAGTGAGTATTTCATCCACAATCCTTTTCAAACCATACAATAATTCTGTGAAGTATTAACATTCAGATTTTACAGATTAAAAAAATGATTCTGAGCCAGGCACTGCGGCCTGTAATCCCAGCAACTCATGAGGCTGAGGCAGGAGGATTGCGAGTTCAAAGTGAAGCTCAGCAAAAGTGAGATGCTAAACAACTCAATGAGACCCTGTCTCTGAGTGAAACACAAAATAGGGCTGGGGATGTGGCTCAATGGTCAAGTGCCCCTGAGTTCAATCCCCAGTATCAAAAAAAAAAAGATTCTGAGAGATTAAGTATTATGCCCTGAAAGCAAGTAAGCAAGTAGCAAGTTTAAGATTTGAATCCAAATCTATTCTGACTAAAAAACCTGAGTTTTCTCAGTTCTATCATGGATTTGATCAGCATATAGAGAGAGAGAGGAGAGAGGAAAAGGCATTCCGGGTGAAAGGATCAAAATAAATCCAAGTTAGAAGAGGGTGAGCCAAGTCTGGCAGAAATGGGCAGGGGATGGGAGCGTACTTACAGAAAATAAAGTTAGAAAATAGATTATAGAAAGGTTAAGAATATAGACAGCCAACTAATGTGGGCTTGATCCTATAGGAAGTGGAAATTGTACCTTAGGAAGTAGAGGATGAAATTAAGACATCTGGAAGATGAACTTCAGCAGAGCAACGATGGACAAAGAAAAAGTATGGCATAATGTAGGAAAAAATATTTAGTATTTCAAGCACTTTAACATTTAAATAATCACTGTTCAACAAATTTGTTTAAAAAAATTAACCAAACTATCTCTTTTGTATGACACTTTCTTAAAATACATCTCCAGGCACTTTTTAAAAAATGGCTACTGTGTCCTACCAATTCTTATGTAGGTCAGCAACCAATTCCACATCCAGATGCATCCAAAAGAATACTCTTTGGTCAGAGGCCACATTTAAAAACTGAACAGCAGGAGCAAAAAAAGGAATAAAAACAGAGATTTCAACTCACAAGCCCGCTAAAGTAAAACAAATTGGTTTAAAAAAAAAAAAAAGAGTTCTATCCTCACATTTATAAGAAGTACTCAAAACTTAAGGACTGATAAATCAGAGAATGACTTTCACATAACCCCAAATTTACTTTTTTACTGAAACAAATTTATAGCTTCTATTCTCACATAAATCAATACAAAAGCATCATTCTCATCATTTAAGGACCAAATTTCCTTTCTCTTTTATGGATATAGAGGGTGTTGTTTGTTTTGAGGTCTGGACTGGTGAAATTTAGTGCTTTGGCAGCTCAAAAACAATCATCAAAATTCTAAAGTTCTCTATCTTATTCAATCTTTGCCACAGGAAAATTCAACTGCATCCTGTAACCTAACACTGAGCTGCATTAAACCAAGGCTCCATATTGCTTAAACACATTTGAGACCTGGTGTAAGATCACATTAAACCCTTCAATGCCTATCAGATAGACAACAATAACCCAATTCACCAGCAAAGCACACGCAACATTGGCCTAGCCAGTTACCTAGTCAAAGACATTTCAACTTTTTGATCACTTTGCAAACAGGAAATGGGAGAGAATAAATGGTGAAGAAAATATGGAGGGAGGTGTGCAGCTGGGAGTTTTCAAGGGGATTATTATAAATGGGAGGGGCAAAGGGAGTGAAATGTAGAAAAAGTAGTCACCTTTTCTGCAAATTACATGACATGGAGTAGATATCTTCCCACCCAATGCTGCACCCCCTAAACTCTAAACCTTTCAGAAAGTTATTAGTGAGCCTGAGGTTCTTGGGAGTACAAGAAGTGCCCAAACCATACCTCCTCATTTTCCTGCAAAGGAAATGTGATACCTATGCCTAAGTACCAGGATATTTTAACATACAGAGGGATGGATAAGCTTCTCAAAAATTACATTTGATTCTGCTGTCAAAAACATTCCCCGACTACCAAATTTTTAAATAGCCTAGAGGCAAAGCATTAAAGTGAGTAGAACAAAGTTATTCCCAGACAAGAAAAGTGCAGACGCTGAGAGTAATACTAAGGGGAAATACATGCATATTATTTATCCAGGACGAGCCAAAGCCCTTACAAACAACTATTTTAAACTCTTTAACATCCAGGGCCTCTTTCTCCCAAAGCCCTAAGCATTTGTCTTCACCAAAAAGTCAATTTGCAATGTCCAAACGGTAGAGATTAACGAAGCAAAGACTTAAGGACCTGCTTATGCTACAGTTGTGTAAAATTTAAACCAAAGTAAACTCCTTCCAGACCTTAAAAGAAGTACTGACCGCAAATTTCTTTTCCTGCACCCTAGAGACCCGTCAAGCAGCCTTCGACGTAACCAAGAGAAAAGTGTTATGTGGACTTTAAAACGTTACTATAAATACATTAAATAAAGGAAACCCTCTTTTTCTTTGCTAAGCCAGAAGGATAAATTGGGCCAAGAGCTCTCTTTTAAAAGGAAAAAAAAAAGTGGGGAGGAGCGCCCAGAAGGGCCGCGTAGTCACGCGGTCCAGGAAAGCTGGGAGCCGGTCTGCAGCTCCGCTGCCCCGCGGGAGCCGAGGCCGAGAGGGCCCAGAAAGGCCGGCAAGATCCGTGCTCCCGCCCTGGAGACAGGGGCCGGGGTACGGAGCTCCCCACCCGACCCGACCCTGAAGTCGGGATCCTCCCGGAGACACCGGCCCGCACCTGCCGCCCCCGGGCCCTTTCTGTCAACCACCATAGCCGCGGAACTCACAGCTTCAGCCGCTCGTAAGTCGTCGCCGCCATCCTGCACCACCAATTCTCCCTCTCCGTTCCGCCGGCTCGCCCTGAGCCTCACCACCACCTCCGCTGCTGCACTACCGGTCACCCTGGCACTCCAGCCACCGCGCCCGCCTCACCCCACCCCTTTGCCGCCCCGCGGGAAAGAACGCAAGCGAACCGGAGGCGATGGGGGACAAACTAGTAAGCGAGTTGGAGCGTGAGAGACACGCCCCCTGATGCGATGGATTGGATTGCGTGGAAGAACGCCGTGACGTAGCGTCTGCGGATTGGTGCGGCGTGTTCGTTGGGAAAGGCGGAGCCGGCAGCTCAGCGCCGGAGCCACGACACCCGACGCAGGGGCAGGAACGGAGAGCTGGTGCCAGGAAGCCTGTTGAAGCTGCGTCAGCGGTGATCAGCTGCACAGTGAAAGCTCAGCTAGCACGGGCCAGTGGCGCAATGGATAACGCGTCTGACTACGGATCAGAAGATTCTAGGTTCGACTCCTGGCTGGCTCGACGTGTGCTCTTTTGCGACGTTTGGGTTTGATATGGAAGGGTCCTTAGAAAAGAATTATGTGTAAAAACTGTGAAGGTCAAAGTCTTGAATTGCCCAATAATACTCTCTTTTAAGCCATGTTTGAAACCTAAAGCTGTCTGAAATGGTTTGCAAATTGGAGAGCGCCCTCATCTTAAATGATGCACACGAGGAATCCTGGTAAAAAAATATATATAAAATCTAAGTCCAGTACCTTTAGGAAAGCACACCTGAGAGGTGGCGATTTGGAGTGAGCGGCTTGCGGGTTACCTACCGATAACGCAAAAACGCATTTTAGGAGACCTTATTTTTCTCCAAGGAGCAGAAACCCCCGTACCGACGTGAGAAGGGTTGCTGCGCGGGTTTCCCGAGGTGGGTGGGCTCCGGTTCTGCCCGCGCCAAGGAGGAACCACCGCAGTGCGTTTGCGGGCCGTGGTGCGGGTCCGCAAAGCCCTCGGAGCCTCCAGCCCTGGTGCCAGCTACCTTGGGCCCCCCCCCCCCCAACCATTCTGGTTCCTAAACTAAATCGGGAAATTTTTAAACCTTGGTCATTTTACAGTGAGAAGACCCCCCGCCCCGACTAATCTAGTATATTCACCCCTTATTTTACAGGTTCCCAGATACAAGACCTGAGAAGGCCCAAAACGTTTGCGGCAGCAGGGAGCCTTGAACCCCCGGAGTGGCTGCCTTGAACACTGTATGAACCAATTACTCCATGATCAATTAATTTCTCCCATCATAACGTTGTTCCAACAGAAATTTGTTGAGAATAAAAATAAAGCGGGGGCTGGGGATGTAGCTCAGTGGTATAGTGGCTGCTTAAACATACATACAAGGCACCAAAAATAAATAAAGCAAATTCCTACTCTGTGATTACCACTATTAACATTTTCTGTTGCACTTTAATAGGGATTTACCTGCACATCCCCCCGCCGCCCCCACAGGGTCTCGTTTTGTATCCTTTAGCTTTTTGTCTGAGATTTAAAGCCATTAAATAGTCTTGGAAGATGTTCTATCAAATAACTAAATATTTTAGGAATGTGGGTTGTTGCCAGCCTGACACTTTTTTTTTTTTTTAAGCATTCAATGAAGTTTAACGTCAGTTGGTAGCATTCATCTCTATGAAGAATGGAGAAGATCAATGTGAATGAAGCCAGGCGGACTGCACTGTCTGCTGCAATGTCTCTCACTTGTCCTCTCTTTAACACTTACTTGGAGCTCCTTATGTTAAATAATGCTGTGTGTGTGTTAGATTTGACTTGCCATTGATTCCCCTCAACCTGCTGGTTAGGGAGGCTCTAGTAACCCTTGCAAACAATTCATAAAGGCCGGTTACAAAGAGAAGGTCTGACAAGAAGGGAGATCCCTTTCCAAGGTGCTGGCAGCATCCTGTAAGTGAGCCTTCCTTCTGTGAGTCTTGTCTAGTCTGGAAAATAATTTCTGAGGAACAGCTTGTCAGTTGGAACTGTCTTTTTTTTTTTTTTTTTTAATAAAAGGGGATTTATTAGATTGGCTTACATTATCAGAAGCTGGACAGTCCAGTCCCCAAATGGCCTGCACACCAGAGAGCCAGAGGAACCAGTCAGCTTAACACTTTATAAAACTGATAACTGTGTTGGATTATTTCTATGTCTTAAAATTTTCTAGATGGAATAACCAGGTGAACATTTTTAAGATCCATTTCATGGACATTTTAAAGATTTTTGGTACATATTTTAAAAATTGCCCTCTGAAAGATTAAACCAGTACACACTTCAATCAAAAGCATCTATTTCCATGCATGCTAACCAACACTGGATTATTTTTATGTATGTAAATTGGGTATTTACATAAAATGTGAATATAAATTGAATCATAATTTTTAATTTTCATAATTGAAAAATAGAACTTCCTTTACATTATTTCTTATTATTTTCTTAATATATTTAATTTTTTTCTTACAAATATGACTTTTTAATGTATTAAAGATATTAACTCTGGCTATCAAACACATTATAATCTTTTTGCCAGTTTATTATTTATCTTTTCCTTATAATATTTTTAACCTAATTTTTGCTTTTATTAATTCAAATTTGCTAGTATTTTGTTTCTATCACGTGTACTTTTTAATATTTATTTTTTAGTTGTAGTTGTCAATACCTTTGTTTTATTTATTTATTTTTATGTGGTGCTGAGGATTGAACCCAGGGCCTTGCGTGTGCTAAGTGAGCGCTCTACCGCTGAGCCACAACCCTAGTCCCTATCACATGCACTTTTTAAAAATTTTATTTGTATTACTTTTTCTTATTTAATTCATTTCTAATTTATTTTGTTGATCATCCTGATGTGAAAATATATTAAATCTTAAAAACTATCACACTTAACTGAGCCGTTACTTCATGCATGATATTGCTTTAAGCTCTTTTATTTGGACCAATTCAATCAACCCTTAAAACAATCTCTTTATGTTCAGTTACCTGTTTTTGTTGTTGTTGTTGTTGTTGTTGTTTGGTACTAGGGATTGAACCCAGGTGTACTTAAGCACTGAGCCCTATCCCCAACCCTTTTTATTTTTGGAGACAGGATCTTACTGATTTGCTTAGGGCTTCGCAAAGTTGCTGAGGCTGGCCTCAAACTTGTGATTGTTATCCTCATTTTTTAAAGAAGAGAGAACTAAATTTCCTTAAGGTCACTGAACAATTAAGTGGTGAATACTGAGGGCTCTTGAACCCAAGGCTTTCCTGCCCTAGGGGTCACTGTACCCAAGAAGGCCACCCATGAACAGGCTCAGGTCCTGTGCCCTGACTGAGCATGGATGGCAGTCACATACTACTCTCCCCTCTTTACTGGCCATAAGAAGACCTCATTTCTAGTCCTGATAATTCTTCTATTCACCAGCTCTGGGCTTCTGGACATTTCTTCCCTTTTAATAAAAGGGATTGAAGTTGTGTTGTGTTTCTTGGGTTTTAAGAAACGAATATTTCCAGCTAAAGGGCCATTGCCCTCCAGAGAGGGCCTGCCCAGTTGCTCTGAACATGTCTTCTTCACCATTTGGGGACCATAAACCAAGGCCTTCATGAACATTTAGTGACACTGAGAGAGAATACAGTTAGAAAAAGGCATTCTTCCAGGATTTTTAAACGCCAAATAAGCCAAAATAAGACTCTTAAGCACAGCAGTGTTCAGGATAAGAAACCATCAAGGATGGGTAAATGTAAATTGACATCTGTCACCGAATTTTTCCTATAATAAATTGTTATTTATACATATATGAATATTTTATAAAATCTGCCAGGGCCTTCTCATGCAGACAGTCCAAGCTGCAGATTACTGGCACCATCCAGATGATCTCTATAGCTCCCTTCTTGTCTAATTCCCACTTACAGACCTTGGATCCATTTTGCCTTCATGCCAAATCCCTAAGTTCCCTCATTTTTCACTCCTTCAGAGACCTGTTGTGCCCACAGCCACCTTTCTCCAGGACTTGGATCAGTTGGAAGAGTGAGGGAGAGGGTGGGTAGGTAGCAGCAGTATTTTCAGCTGCTTTACAAGCTCAGAGGTATCATACAATGAGGACTTCTCCTAGAAGGGTCATACACCTGGGGATGTCACATGTCTGAGAACTTCTAAACCAGACCAGACCTCTTGGATTTTTTTTTTCTCCCATCACGGTATGACATCTGACTTTTTTAACACCCAGATTCTAATTGTGTTTACTATATATGATACATTTCTGTTTTCAATCCAGGAAAAATGCAAACCCCACTTTTAACAATGCTTGAAAAAATAGGGAAACTTTCATTTCCATCCTAAAAAAAACATATTCTGTTGGAGTCTGAATAATGCTGTCCATCAAGATGTCCAAGATCTACGACTATATCTTATCCAACAAAGCAAGGGGGATTTCGGCTTAAGGATCATGAGATAGTAAGATTATTAGGGATTATTTGGAAAATACCAATATAATAAAAAGGTCATTATGATAAGGGGGGGGGGGCGTGATCAGAGATGGGCAGCCTGACTACAGAAGCAGAGTTACAGAGCTGGAGTGGTGCCACCACAAGCCCTGAAACACGGCAGTCTTGAGAAGCTGGAAATGGGCAAGGATGCATTTTCTCCCAGTGCTTCTGCATCAAGTGCAGATCTACAGACAACCTTGATGTGAACCCAGAGGACCCATTTCTTCAGAATTTTAACAAACTTGTGCTATTTTAAGCCACCGAGTTTGAGGAATAACTCTACAGTAGCAACAGGAAAACAAGAGTCCAACAGCAGTGATAAGCTGCTCCTCATTGCCATTTTAGGGACTGTGTGGCTTTATTGAATAAATACACTGAAGTACAACTGATTAACCCCTCAGCAGACAGAGTGGCCAAGATAGGCCACTCTGCATGAAACTACTTGGGATGGCATACTGGTCCTGCTATTTACTGATGTATTACTGAAGAGTTATTTCACCATCCATGTCTCTCAGATGTTCATAAAATGAGGGATGACAGAGAATATGGAGTCCTTAAAATAACATTTGGGACATGGTCCCCACAATTAATGTCACCTATTATGTTGCAATCATGGAATTTAGAACCAGATCAGATTTCCTCTCTGCTTCAGCCCCCAGATGCATGAGGCTAGCTCATACTTGCTCATAACTAAGTTATCTTCTCCCAACTTTGGGGTGGATTCTGGGGTGCCATGTTGGTAGAATGAAATTAGGTGTGACAGGAGAATTTGCATCATAGAAATCAACACACCCTTGGATATGATTCTCCAAGGCCTTTCAGATTCTAACACTAATCTTGTGAGCATAGGCACCGACTGCCTTAGTTCCAGACTATCTTTTCAAGGATGTTAGTTCATTGAACAGTTGTGAATGATTGTGTCTCTCCAGAGCAAAGATCAGGCAGACTCAATGCCCATTATAAAAGACAGGGTTTCCTAAGCATCTGGTGCCCCTTGTAATGCAACCCACCACATGTGCAGGTATTGTCTGATCCTCTTCATGGAGCCCTGTAGAAAACAGGGTTCAGTAAACAATTCCAAATGCTGATAATCAGGCTACTACTATTGCTATTAGTAATAAACTGTCCTTTGTCCTGATCTGCAAGTTCCATAACTTCTGCCAGGATCCAGGAAACCATGCCATGCTAATTTATTAGCTTTAAGAAGGTAAAATCTCAGGCTCTTGAAACTCGTGTGTTACTTAAAGAATCCAGAGTTCTAAAAGGGTAAAACCCAGGGGTAAAAACACTGTCAACACTGTCACATTATTCCACACACAGAAAAGGCCCAGTGAACACTGTTATGTTGGAGAACACTTTAATAGCCTACAAATTGATTCAGTTGTATCGTTGCAATATTTTGAATAATTTTATAGCAAAGAAGACACACAGAGGAAAATAATTTTCCCTATACAGCAAAACTTTCATAACTATATGGAGATTTCCCACATCTGTCCAGTTTTGGCTCAGAACACAAAAGATACCTAGTACATTTTTACTCATTTTGTTGTTGTTACTTTAAAGTTACTTCAAATACTAACTAGGAAATTAGGACTGATTCTTTTTTTGGGGGGGTGCATACTGAAGATTGAATGCAGGGAGCCCTTAATCACATCCCCACCCTTTTTCGTATTTTATTTAGAGACAGGGTCTCATTGAGTTGCTTAGGGCCTTGATAAATTGCTGAGGCTGGCCTTGAACTCGTGATCCTCCGGCCTCAGCCTCCCAAGCCACTGGGATTACAGGTATGCACTGCCATGCCTGGCTTAGGACTGATTCTTGGCAAAGGAAAGTACAAAAATAATTTGGTTTCCTGACAGACAGAATTTTAATAAGTGCATCCAGCAACCACTATTTGGGGTAGAATCCCACACCCTTTCTCTGCAAGGTACTATCAACCTTACA